TTTTTTTTTTTTTTTTTCTTCTTTCTTTTTTTTTCTTCCTTTACAGACCTTCCTTTTTATAATACTTTTTTTTTCTTCTTTCTTCTATCGTTCCTTTTTTTCTTCTTTTTTTTTCTTTTCTTTTCAACCTGCTCACACAATTCCTATGAGTGTGTGGGTGTGGGTGTAGTTCTCTTTCTTCCCTTGGAGCAATAGTAAACGGAATACGTTTCTTTTCCCTTTTTTTTCTTCCTTTAATGATATCTTTTCTTTTTTTTTTGCTTTAATATATGTAAATATGTATAAAGTTTTTTTTATATATATATATATATATATATATATATACGTATTAGTAAGAATGAGAAGAGTAAAAGAAAAATGAGAAGGTAAAGATTATTTGTTAAATTACATATCCAAAGTGTTCCTCTAATAACAATAACAACAATAATAATAATAACAGTAATCACAATACGTAACCTACGCTCTCTTTCTGACAAGCGCACACGCACACACACAGAGAGAGAGATAGAGGGAGAAAGATAAAATGAGAGCTTATCACCAGATGAGAGTGCAGGAATGTGTCAGAGTATAAGGTGCAAACGAAATCGATAAAGAAGAAGAAAAAATAATAAAAATCCTTTTTATTATACTTTCTGTGTCTTTCCCTGGTCCTCATTTTCCATACACACACACACACTATATATATATATATATATATATATATATATATATGTTTACTTAAAAATAAATAATACCGTAAATTAACCGTAAATCACACACATATACACCTCTATTTATATTACGACTTCTTCTCCTTTGTGCACATACGATCAAAGCGGGCCACGTAAAACCCATTAGTGGCATCCGCAACGGGATCGCAGCGAATTGTGTACTCGAGCGGCAGTGTTTCTTCTTCAGATCGGCGGCCACGTGTATTCCACGTGTTTGGCATGATATGACTGAGTGTCCAGCCGCGGGCCTGCACTCGACTGTCGAGCAGCACCTGCCGCACAACTCCCTCGTTCTCCTCCTCGTGCAGAGAGCAGGTGGAGTACACAACTGTGCGGCAGTTGTCAAAGGAGAGAAGGGCGTGGGCAAGAAGTTTGCGCTGCAGCCTCGCGAGACTCTGCACACGATCCACATTACTGGCAAAGTCCGCTCCCTGCTCTTCTACAGCTATAGCTCCCGTTTCATTATTATTAATATTATTATTATTATCACCATCATCATCATCATTATTATCATTATCATTATCATCATGATGATTTGTATGATCATTATCCGATTCAACATTATTGTTGTTCTTCTGGACTTTTGTGTTTTGTCGCTGCTGCAGGAGGGAAACATCCACACGCGTTAACACACCACTGGCACTGCAACTGGGATCCAGTAGAATCGCCTCCGCCGCATCACGATCCGCAGAGGCCATATCAAAAAAGTCCATATGCACAACATTCACATAATCACCCGCCCCAAGACTCTGCACACGTTTGTAAAGAAGATTCGCCCGCTTCTCATCTCGTTCAAGTGCCATCACTTTCACATGTGGGGCTCCCAAGGCGGCAATCTGTGTTGTTTTATTACCCGGCGCCGCACAGGCATCGACAACGTACTCCAGTGGTTTCTCATGTTGTATAGATGCCGATGTACACACTTCCACAGCATCGAGAAGAACACAAACGGGAAGACAAGAGGCGCGATCCTGCAGGATAAGTTGACCACTTCGCACAGCCGGATGGGCGTGCAGATCGGTGCCAGGCGGGAATACCAACAGCGATGGTATAATGGGATCTACAGTAAACTCCGGTAGTGTGCGAAATCCCTTTGAAGATCGATTCCCATTACTATTCTTATTCTTATTATTATTATTATTATTATTATTATTATTATTATTATTATTATGAGTATTTGTGTCATCATCAGCATCGCGAGCTCTTTTTGCGGCAGCACGGCGGAGTCTCTCAACTAAACTCTCCACATCAATCTTCAATGTATTCACCCGTGCATACCGCGGTATCCGTCGCTCTATCATCATACTACTACTATCATTACCAGACATACCATTATCATTATCGTTCCCAGCTGATCGCTGATGATTCCCATTATTTTTATTATTATTCTTTTTCTCTTCCTCTCCATCCTCTTCAAAGGCATCACGTGCTCGTGGAGGAATAATGTGATGTTTCTTCACATGCCAATACGCCTCACGCAAGTACGGTGCGGATTTTTGAATTGCCTGTGCCGTGGAATCCCGATTGGTGTTTACTCCTTTCCCAAGCACAACATCATACGCCATACAGACAGCGAGTTCTCTATTAGCGCGTGGATAATATTGGAAGAACTCCGCCTGCTCGAGAACATCCTGCAGGAGATCGTAGTGTCGAAGGGTTTCGCAGACAACGGCGTATGTTTGTTTTTTCTTTTGCATTTCTTTGCGGAGACACAAAGCCTTGGCGGTGCCGTGGCCTTCACGTACAGCACGCACAATATCACCAGCTTGTCTATAGACATCCATCTTTTTCTTTTTTTTTTCTTTTTATTGCTTAAACCGTTTCGTATAAATATAAAAAATGTATTCTCTTTATTCTTTTCCTTTTTGTAACTACTCTCTTTTCTTTTCTTTTCTTTCTTTTTTTTCTCTCGCCTTTCCGTTCCTTTAGATTCCCTTTCCTATTATCAGATCCATATATATATATATATATATATATCAGAAAGAGAGAATAAAGAAAAAGTAAAGACACAAATCAAAAACAACAACAATAACAACAGATCATTAACAGAGAATATTTCTTTCTTTCTTTCTTTTTCTTTTTGGTTGAGAGAGATAATTTCTAAAAGAAGAAAAAAAAAATATATATATTAAAATACAAAAAAAAAAAAAAAACAGTGCATCTCATTCATAGTGTTCCCACACACGTGTGTGATGTGAAAGTCCCTCCAAACATCGTGATGACTTCAACCAACCCGCATCCAAACAAAAACCCTCACGGCTTATATTATCACACCTTGTTGAAATATCAAAAAGTCGCCGTGCTAAGAAACGTGCATGCCGCACAGAAAAATGATTCCATTTTCCATTTATTTCCATTTCCTCCTTTACAACATCTTGATTCGATAGGGTTTTCTTATCATGAGCCAAACATACCACTATACACTGATCACATCCCGCTACTCGTAATACCTGTACAGTGGCAAATCCACGTGAGAGAAATTGCTCCTCTAGTGTTTCCCTTGTTGGTAAAATGTGTGCATTCACAATAACAGCCCCACCGGGAATAAGACGTGCATGACAGAGATCAATAAGATTACAATCATGCATCATTCGTTCTCTTGAAGGATCATAACAGTCGAGAAAGATAAGACTATAGTATTTATTCGTATCCTGTAGAAAGGTTCGGGCGTCTGTGAGAATAAAACGATAGTGTGGATATCGGTGATGGGCTTGAGAAACTATCCACTCTTGTCGTTGTTTATTATCTTCTCTTTGATCTTGTACTTCACACAGTGGTAGTTGATTGTGTGCTCGGCATATCTCCAGCACAGTTGGCTCTATTTCTACCACATCGATAGGAACATCTGAAGAAAGGGCCACATCTAAACAGTTTCCAATAACGTTTCCACCGAGACCAAGAAGAAGAACCCCATCATTCGATACGTTTGTCATTAGTGGAAACCCTCGTGAAGTAGTAGTAGTAATATTATTAGTAGTATTAGTAGTAATAGTAGTAGTATTAAGAAGATCTGTATTAGATTCTATAGTAGTGTGGTGTTTTATTTTATTAAATGATTCTCTTTTATCTTTTTCAAAGAAAACATCAGGGGCATTCCAAATAGCATGCATGAGTAATCCAAAGTGGACCATGTGATATGGATAGCATTGGAGTTGTAGTGGTCGTCCTGGTTGACAAAGAGACTGAAGGGCAAAGGAATACTGCATGGGATGTTGATAAGCCCGTTGATCCACAATGTGAAGACTAAAGAGTCGTACATTATGATACTCAGATCCTTTTTCATCTCTTCCTCTTCCTTTTTTAAGGTTATTATTATTATTATTATTATGGTTGGGGTTATCGTTATTATTCTTGTATGCATTTTCCTCCTCATGCCCTCTTCTCTTTGTGTATGCTGTTAGAGGATCAAAGGTGGAAACACAAACCGCAGACTCTACCCACATCACACAGTATCCTGTTAAGACTTGACAGGGTAAACATGAGAGAACTCGACTAGTGCAACTTTCCAGAGAGACTTCTCTTCTATATTCAATATCTCTATGACGTTTGTGTGTGGGAATAACACACATATCACCACTACTATTATTATTACTACTATTACTACTATTATTACTCTTCACACCATCTCTTAAATAACGGTATATCAACATGTTGTTGAAATGGCTCTTAATTTCACACGGGATACGCTTTTCCGCTGTTCGTATGAGGAGGCCATTGTTACTATCCACCTTCGTCGGTACTGAGACCATTTATTTTTTTTAAAATGGGGGGTTGTTCCTAACCCTCTCTTGTCTTTTTTTTTTTTGAAGTAAGAAGGACATAAATAGAGATAAGAAAAAGAAAAAAAAAGGAATTATTTTAAATATTGTTTATTTTAAAAGAAGATTAAGAAAATAAAAATGAAAAACAAATTACCACAACTATATATATATATATATATTAAAGCAAAAAAAAAGAAAAAAAAACACATAGAAGAGATTGATACGAGAAATAATACACACCCGCATCTCACATCTTCTCTTTTTGCAATACTCATCCATATGAGGGGTCCCTCCTTACCAAGAAAGCAAAGGGGAAAAGAAAAAAAAAGAGAAAAAAAAAGAAGAGTATTCATTCATTCATTCTTTCTTTTTTTTTTGTTTTTCTTTTCTCTTCTTATTATTCACGCCCCATTGAACCAAAATGTTAAGGTACCATCACGAGAACCAGAAGCCAAATACGTCTCATTTCCATTAGAAGCAACACACATGGTAAGAATAGCATCCTCGTGGTGTCGCGGGGGCAACATACTACTACTATTACTATTACTACTACCAACTGTAAAACTTCCCCTGTTGTTGTTGTTATCCACATTATTATTATTATTATTATTATTATTATTATTATTATAGGAATTGATGGTAGATAGATCTGTAGAATACAATTCAGCAGTAGTAGAAGAAACCACATTTCCCCCTTCTTGTTTCTGTGATTGTACCTCCGCAATGAATCCACGTGTGGTTCCCATATATCCTGGTGAAGTATAGGGAGGACAAACCAATGTTCTGGACTTCCCCGGTGTTGTTAAGATCCATTTCCTAATCCACATATCATCTCCAGCGGTTAATACCACGGCATGTTTGGGCTGCACTAATAGTGATCGAATGGCTTTCCCTTTCGTGGCCGGCTGAAGTGCAATGTGGAAATCTCCAGTAGCGAGATCCATACGATACACCGTTCCAGACTGTGTTCCTAATAGTAATCCAGGATGTTGATTCTTATCGAATGTACTATTATTACTATTACTATTAGTATTACTAGTATTATTATTAGATGGAATATCTGGGGCTACACAGAGTATAGCGTGTGGGTTTTCTACCAAATTCATCGCCTGAGAAGAAACTGTAGGTGTTAGTTGATACTGTTGAAGTAGTAATTGAAAACGCAAATCAAATAATGCCACTCCACCACCACGAGTAACAACAGATACTCCATAGGCTCTATTATCATAAAATAATGGTGAGAGACCACTTGGAGAACCAACTGAGGCTGGAAGGGCAGAATGCCAAACATCTTTTCCAGTTCTATAGTCTATTGCAAAGAGACCACCTAATGCACTGGAGATAAGAATAGTAGAATCATCCAATGAAGCGGCGGATGTTAATGAACTACCATCAAAGGATCGATGTAGGAGAATATTATTACTAGAGACATCATATAAACGCCATTCCCCATCTGTTCCTCCCATACAAAGAAGAGGACTTAAACCTTCTCGAAGTATATTACTAAATAGAAATGTACTCATAACAGAGACTTCGGTGTGAATACGATGGGCGTAATCTACACCTTCTTTACCTAATGACCATAAAATCGCATCTCCACGACCTCCTGCAGTTATTAAAGTTCCTCCTCTTTTAGTTGCAGCGGAACAGTAAATACCACCAAGATGGGCATTTCGTGAAAAACATGGGGCCGCTATTGGATTAAGTTCCTTTTCAACTCTTATCACATCTGATAAGGGGGAATAATAAATAGATTCTATAGAAGTAGAAATATCATTTATATTTCGTCGACGTCCGGTAGCGTAAAAACCTTCCATAGAATTTCGTTTTTCAGATTCCAAGTAAAAAGAAGATTTGGAACTATTTTCTTCATATGATTTACCTTCTCTTAAGTAAAGTCGCTTACATTCACGTGTTGTAGGTTTAAATAACAATTTCCATTCGATACGATTATCATTATTGTTATTCCTACTACTATTACTATCCATTTGTTGTTTATTCTCATTACTTGAAATCTCCTTCTTTTCTCTTGTAAACATAGTTGTATCTAGCATATGAGGATCATAGGATACATCCACAAATGTGACATGTGTTTGTAAACCTTGTAGAGAACGTTTCTTCACATTTAATGAAAGTTTATAAAGTGGCTCTTGCATAGCAATACGATGAAGTAAATGTTGACGAAAATCCACATCTCCTCCCAGTATACTTACCGTACGATGTACTTTCCCCATCTGTTCTTCTACTGTATGATAAGAATGAGATAACTCAGATCGCACAGCAGTAGGAAATGCGGCAATATATGCAAGTGGGACTTGATATCGCAGCATTGGACGAAGTACACATTCAAGATACATCCAAACATCACCTAAACGATGCATACGAACAACATTTTCAATTAAAGAAAATACCGCACTACTTACCCATTTATTAGGACTAAGAATTTGTGGTATAGCTTGATGTACTAATGGCATAATATCCCAAACAGGTAGAGAATTTTTATTTACAATAGCTGTAATACTATCTATAGTTCTCTTTAAACATGTAATATCAGTTTGCCGTAATCCTTCATCTATAAAGAGACGTAATGTTTTTAATTTAGGTGTTTGTAAGCATAAATGACAGTTAATAGCTTGTGGAAATAATTCTCGTTGAACATCTATGGTAGAAGAAATAGCTGTTGTGAGAAAAGGAATAAGATCATCCTGTGTTCGTTCATCACCAAGGAAAGTTACCACATCCACCGTTCGTTTAAGAAGTGCCACTACAACTTTTGTATGTGTATGTTTATAAAGTGATCGTAATATATCCCAACCCCGATCAAGGAGATCATTTAATTGTCTTCCAAATGGAGATTCCCACGCATTTGCAGAGGCAAGTCCCTGTCGTTGTTCAAGAAATGATCGTGCTAATAATAAAAATTCAGGTAATTGATGAGCTAATTCCACCATTAAAGCTGTATTTCTAGAGTTTAAAGAAGATACCAATTCTTCTATACAAGGTAGAATAAGATCATCAAACATGGTAGCATCACTTACGGAAAAGGGAATAGAACGACAAATCATAGTTAATGTTCGCAGTGCTAATACACGAGCCACATCTGGATATTTTTCTAATCGTACATAATATAAAATATAAGGAAAAATAGTATCTTTCTGTACTTCTATTGGACAAAAAGGTAACATTTTCTGAATAATACACACAAGCCGAAGATAAGAATCTGCAATAACGGCATGAAGACTGGCATTCACAACAATAGGTAATAAGAGTAATACAGTAGATTGTTTCGCATTATTATTATTATTATTATTATTATTATTATTATTATTATTATTATTATTATTATTAGTAGTAGTAGTAGTATCCTGACAACGTCTTTCGGCTTCATCTAAAATATCTTCTAGACGAGAATAGAGAAGTTGTACTTGATGATCTGGTGGTCGTGAAAGTAATACTGGGAGAATATCGTAATAAATAAACTCAAAGTATGGTGGAAATACTTCAGGTGTAAACTCTTCCAGTAACTGCCGTGCGGTAGGACGATGATCTGCACACGTAGAAAGCATTTTACGTAACATACGGCTTACATAAATGGGAACACCACGTTCTGTTAAGATTTTATTTACGAATAATTCCCGTTCTTCTTGTGTTTGTAGAGATCGTAGAGAGAGAACCTCTGAGAGAGAAAAAAGAGGTTCCTCTGTAAAGATATGGGCTAATACACATGCAGCTGAAAAAATATCCATCGCTTGAGTATGTGTAGTGGCATTAACATTAGATATTGTCAGTGAAATTGGCTGTTCCACAAATTTTTCAGGTGCTAAATAACAAATACGAGTTTCATTCGTATCATAATAGTAATCAAATAAGGCTGGGTTATTTGCAGGTAATAATGCTGGTTTAAAAGGAGAAAGATCTGTTACATAGATCCAACCATATGTATTCACAAGTACATTATCAATCTTTAAATCTCCATGAACAGTTCCCCACCGTTCATGTAATTGTACGAGACTCTGTAGTAATTGATAACCCGCGAAGAGTCTTTCTGCAGAATTCCAGTAAGGCCGTGTAGCCAATCGCTCTGCAAGTGTAAAGGCAATATAAGGTCTTTCTAATTTACAAAAACGATCATTATGAACTTCCATAGCGGAATAAAATAAAATATTACAAGGTGGAAATAATTCACTTTGCTGGTGTGGACTAGGAATGGAATTTACACCTGGAATAACGTGTGGAGGTGTCATTCGGGCATCAATACTTAAAAGATGATCATAACAAAACTCTACCAATTCTCGTTCTCTATTATCCCCAAGTGTACGTACAAATACTTTCACAACCACATCTGTATTACTATTAGACCACTGGGATGGACGACGTTGTGAGGAGGATGATACTTTTTCATATCGATTACTGCTAGAATAGAAAAGATGACGTGAACTAAGAGACTCTACGGAATTAGACATATCGACAATTTTTTTACAACGGAAAGAACGAAAGTAATTTCGGTGTTCACCGCCTAGTGGGGCTACTAATTGAAGAGATGAGGAAATATCCGTTACATTTACCGCAGTTGCTGCTGCCAGTTGGTTTCCCATAAGGTATATATATATATATATATATATATATATATATATTTATTTATTTATTTATCCTTCTTTCTTCTTTTTTTCTTTTCTTTTTTTAATGTGATCCAGGTATGTATGCTTGTGATCGAAAGAAATAAATTTACCAATTAACGTTATGGTAATAATCTTTTTTTTCTTTTCCTCTTTCTAATCACCACAAAAGTGGCATACTAAGAAGTCAAAAGAACCCCCCCAAAAAAAACTTTTACAAAGAAATAGGATAAAGAGCAAAAAAAAAAGAATAATAATGTCCAGGAGAGAAAAGAGAAAGGCATTACCATTTGAAAACGCACAGAGAATGAGAACAAAAAAGAAAAAAAAAAAAGGCACCAAAAAAAAAAAGCAAAGAAAAGATAGCAAGAGCATTATCGCACCTAAAGGTGCCGCAAAGTTTTTAAAAAAAATGAAGACACAGAGAGTCTTGTCAGAGCATAAAAGTAAGTCACATATCAAGAGAAAAAAAAAGCAATGTTAAAACAAGAACAATAGTCTCTTGCTCCTTCATTATTGCATATCATCCTTTTTTTTTTTTTCTTTCCTTTCTTTCTTTCTTTTTTCTTCTTTATTGTTTGCTTTCTTCTTTTTCTTTTTCTTCTTGTCTGCCTATTGCGATAGATGGCAGCCAGGTGAGGATTGCTTTGGCTGCCAAGCGCTGTATACATGGTTAGAGTGATGTGTTGAAGGGGAACTAAATAAAGACATGATTTCCGCTTTTGCGTCCACTTGTGTTGTCTGGTAATTAGCCTGCGGAGATACAGAATAAGATTGATGAGTATGCATCATCATCATCACTGTATTACCCACTGCTCCATTGGACCATGGCATTTGCTGAACTTGTTGTGGTTGTTGAGGTTGTTGAGGTTGGTGTAGTTGTTGTTGACTATGTGGATTAGACTGTACGACTGTTGGTGTGAAGAGGTCATCCATGTTAATGCCACTCTTGACATCTTTATTGCCAGCAGGAGTTGAACTCCCTGTTGTTGTTGTTGTTGTTGTTGTTGTTGTTGGACAAGCACCACCCCACAACATTGGCACAGATGCCCCATTATTTGTTGTTGTTGTTTCTGTTTTCGGTGGTGGTGTTATTGTTGTGTTTGTGGTTGACTTGGGTTTTGCTGTATCTGCACTTTCCAGCATAAACTTCTTGAGTAACTCCTCATACTGTGGATGGTAGTACAGTTTACGCTCATACTTATCACGTATAAACCGTTCCACCACTGCGTTGTTGCTAGATGGATTGGGCCGCACATGCTGTGGTAGATTGTGTTCATACAATATCTGTCCACGTGCGTTTCCAACGGCCTCACATCTTCGGATCATATCTTCCTCCCATGTATCCATAGTGGTGGATTTAACTTTAGAGACATGTGTGCCCAGGGCCCGGTGGAGACCAGCACAGCGTAGACAGAAGAAGACACCGAGATTGGTGCTCGCCCAACTCGGCTGCTTTGCGGAACAGTCGCAGCACTCGCGGTTCTCTGGTTGACGGAGGAGATTGGCTAGTCGACGTTGATGGTCGGCTGTGTTGCGGCTCATCACGGGAAATGTAATTTCTTACAAGGGGGTTTTCTTTCTTTCTTTCCTTCTTTCTAAATATATATATATATATATATATATATATATTTCTCGCTCTTTCTCTCTCTCTGCGTATAACTGTGTGTATATGTGTGAGAGTGTGAGAATATGTGTACGTGTGCGTATGCCTTCACTGCTATGCAGTCCTTCTCCCTTACTTTTCCTTGGTTTCAAACACACCTTATATATATATATATATATATATATATATATATATATATAGTGAGAGAGAGAAAGAAAGAGAAAAAAGTAAAACCAAGAACAATAATAAAAATAAATACAAATAAATAAATAAAATAGCGTTAGAGATGCAGATAATATCCTCCTGTTACTGTTCCCGCGATGAGAGATAAATATATCCACAAAATAATTAAAAAAACACACACACACAGAGAGAGAGAGAGATAGTTCATCTACGTTACACAAAATATATCCTTCATCCCTCACTCCCATCTCTTTTAGTGTCTCCCTCTTCCTCTTCCTCCTCTTCCACGTCCTCTTCCTCTTCCTCCTCTCCCTCCTCTTCCTCCAGCGCCTCCTCTTCTACTAAAGTTCCCTAAACGACCCCGCACTTCTTCCACATGTGTATTTAATACCGGATCACAGAAGACACAGGCTACAATACGATCCTTGCGGTTTACCAGCGGTGATTTACCTTCCGGGAACTGTAGATCCATCATCATAGCACCACAGTCCTCACACTCCTCAGAGCTCACACGTACACGTTGGGCCGTAGGAGGAAGGAGAATCATCATTGTACAGTGATTACAGCAGATTTTCCATTTCCCAGAGGTTCGAGGAACAAAGGCCATGGAACCATCACAACGTTCATCCACACAGTCAGCTACATAATTTGTAGCTAAAGAATGATAACAGGTAGGATGACGACATTCATCACAAGCCATATATTGTCTTCCATTACGTTGCATAGTATCTTCAAAAGGTGGATTATTATAACAATTTGGACAAATAGGAAATGATTTTCCACCATCCACGTGACAAATTACAAGTTCAAAATTATCTAATGGACACTTAAAGCTAGAGTATTGCTTAATAGTTCCACCTTGTGGTAAAGCATAAGTAATTTCACAATAAGCACAATATAAACGTTGTGGACGAGCTTCTAAATGTTTTAAATAACGCATACAATTTCCACAACGTGTAATAGGTTTACCAGATGCTGAAAGTGATGAAAAAGATGCCCCCATAAGAGCATCAAATCGTTCAATATTTTCTTTAAAAAACCGAAATTTTCCAAAGAAAAGATCTAACGAATAAGAAAGAACCTCATCTAATGTAGCTGCCCCTTCAGCAATACAAGTTACATATTCTTCTACTTTACTTCGAACAAGTGGTAAAACTAATTCAGGATCAATACTTTTAATACCATGAATTAATACCACACCAAGTTTAGTAGGTTCCATAACTCGACCTGGTTTAACTGCACAATAACCTCTTTCTACTACATTATTAACATGTTGTGAAATGGAAGCATCTGTACCAATACCATGTTTTTCCATTAATCCAATAAGGTCAGCTTCTGTTAAGTATCCTGGTGGTTGTGTTTGTCCTGCTTGTAGTCGAACATCTGAAAAAGTAAAATCACTTCCAATTTGAACATTTGTTGGTACCTTATCATCTTTAACTGCCCATTGAGGAAGAATTTCAGTAAATCCAGGATTTTCTACTACTTTACCTACAAAACTAAATAATTCTCCACCAAGTTCTATTACAAGTTTAGTTCGGGTAAGTTTACAATCTGGAGAAAGTGTAGCAATGAAATGACGAGTAATATATTCATATAATCTCCAAGAATCACCTGATAATTCTCCTGGTCCTGCTGCACGCATAGGTGTAATGGGTGGATGATCACCTGCATCTTTTCCTGCTTTTGGTCGTGTATGTCCACTTTTTATAAGTTCTTGAACATAGGTTCCCCATATTGGACTTTTCTCTTGTGCAGAAAGGGCACTTAAAAAATTAAACGATGATGGATATGCTGTAGATTCTGTACGTGGATAAGAAATATATCCAGAAATGTATAAATTTTCTGCAATTTGCATAGCTTGATGTGGTCCCATACCAAGAGCTTTACTTGCAATTTTCATAAGTTCTACTGTATTAAGTGCTGTAGGTCGAACACGTGTATCTGTTCCAACAGAGACATCTACGACTTTACCAACCTTATTTCGTGATACTTTTTGATGTAATAAACGGGCTATCAATTCATCAAATACACGTCCACGAGCCCAATCAAAAGTAAGAATTGTACCAAATCGATTAGAGACAGGTACTAATTTCCAATAATTTTCTGGTTTAAAATTTAATATTTCATCATGTCTTTGAACGCAAAAAGCTAATGTTGGTGTTTGGCATGGACCATAACTCACCACACTAGCATCCAGATCTCCATATTTCCCTTGAAAGTATTTTGTTTGAAAACGTGTAAAGGCGACTCCGACCTTAAGATCCAATTCCTGTCTACATGTGACAGCATCTGAGATATTCTTATTGGGTTTCCCCAGATGCATAAAGGCATGTGTGATTTCCTCCCGTGTGATGGCGGAAAACTTGGCACGCCAGATATCCCGTGTATCCCAAATACTCCGCCGCACCACCTGCATCACCTCAAAGCAAATGTTCTCTCCCTCGCGGTCGCAGTCGAGCCAGAGGACCAAAGTGTCGCAGCCCTCCGCCTCGTGGGCGAGATGGCGGCTGACCTTCCCCGTCTCGTCCCGCCAGACCACCGGCGCCCGGAAGAGTTCCTCCTCCTCCGTGCGGTCCCAACTTTGGTGCTGCGGCGTGAAGTCGCAGGCGAAGACGTGGCCGGTGGTGCTCGTCACGCGGAAGCGGGCGGGGGCGCCGTGGAAGTGGCCGTCGTACTCAAAGACCGGCAGCGCCCGCGGCCGGCGGACGGCGTGGCCGTTGGAGAGATGATGGCCAATGCTCTCCGCAAGCGACGGCTTCTCCGCCACCATCAACACCGTGCGCACCATTTTTTATTCTTTATTTCGTTCTTTCGTTTGGTTGTGGTTGTTTCTCCTGCTGGAGTGTAGAAAAAAAGAAAAGGAAAGAAGGGAAGTGATAGGGGAACAGGAATAACAGTAAGAAACCATCTCATATATATATATATATATATATATATATATATATATATATATATATGATTTCCATATCCCAGTAGTTACCATAAGACCTAGTAGTACTAGCAAATAATAATAAAAAAAAACATCACCAATCCCTTGTATCATTAGCAGAACTGAACTCTCTGTAAAAAAAAAAAAGAAGAAAAAATAATCGATCCTTTCTATTCTGTTTCCTTTTCCTCCTTTCCCCACACCCAAAAAAAAACCCATATTGAAAATAAATAAAATATCTGTAAAAAGATATACACAGTGTAAGATGCAAACAAAGCTAACACACGTGTTTACACATAAATGGAGAGAAATAAAGTATAAAAAAAAATAAAATGAAATTAAATAAAACAGGACTTACCCAATACCCACACATCTGATAAACTTTTTTTTTAATTATTAGGATGCCATATTTTTTTTAGCTGATATTTCCTCCCGTACAGCCTTTTCTAGCCCATGTATATAGGCTGCAAAAGAGATTGCATGAGAACTGGTACTATTAGTAGTACCATTTGCAGATTCACTGTAAGCCAAAAAAGGCAATTTCTTTAATGTCCTTCCACTGAGTGTTTCACACTCTCTAGCAATAACTTCCAATTGTTGTATTTGTTTTTGATTTAATATTCCATTATGAGATGACATTGATAAATACTTCACTTCATTACTCATTTCCTCATTAGAAGAAATTAAACTAAAAATTAAACCCTTTTCAATCATTTCCTCTGTACTTGATTTAAGAAGTGCGATACGGGCTTGTAAACCTGGCATTCCAATAAATATTTTCTTATCAGCTCGATCAATAAAGGCGACATCAATAGCACCAGTTATATTACTAGTGGCTAGAACCACAACATTATGTCTACGCTGTAAACTGTCTAATTGTGTAAGAAGTGCATTTACAACTCTTATAGCATCAGAAGGTTCATTTCCTTTCATCGCTGATTGTCGTGCTGCTGCCAGACTCTCTACTTCATCTACTAAAATACATAATAAACAATCCGGTTTTTCTGCCAATTCATGAATACGTTTGAAAAGAAGCATTACTTGCTTTCCACTTTCACTAAACCATCGACTAAAGAGACTATGGGCGTTAATCTCTACAAGTACGGCAGAAGGAAAAACATCCGCAAGTCGTATTGCCAATTTATGAGATAAAGCCTTACAGAGAGATGTTTTACCGGTACCAGGTGGACCGTGAAATAACAAGAGTCTATTCCAAGCCACCGTATGTGGATTTACACCGGATATAGAAAATATCATAGCTGCCCGCATATACTGCAATAGACCACGTTTAAGATGAGCAGAATCACTTAACGTTTCTCCATAAAAGAGAGATTCCCATAATCCTTCTAATGATGGATTTGGTAATGGCAATACCGTACAAGAAGGTAATAATTCTCCCCCACCATCTCCATTCATATCAGAATGAATCCCCATATCTTCATAATCCGATAGTCCTTCATATATCTGTGGACTCTGAAGAGTGTACATTACAAATGTATACTTTGCCTCTGAGGTGATAATGCCCTGTGGTGGACAATACACATCACACACTCGAAGGAATTCCACCGTCGATGCGATAAGTTCAGAGGCATTCGCAAGTGAGAGAATATCACCTGGACGAATAATTCTGTGAGTTTGACGAATAAAACTTGTGATAACTTTAGAGAGTTCTGCACTATTCACACGAGGTGGACGGCATCGAACTTCTATTGGAATAAGGGATAATTCTGTCATTTTATCTGTACTTGTGTGGGAAATACTTGAGTCTCTCTCTCTCTCTCTTTCTCTCTCTTTTTCTTTCTCGTTAGAATAAATAAATCTTCCCTTCTATTAAAATAGATGAAGATGTGGGTCCCACCACAAATAAACTTCCTTTTAAATTCAGAAAAAAAAAAGAGTGAGAAAAAAGTAAGAAAAATAAGAAGATACCAAAGGGGAATAACACTCTGATGTGGAAAAAGTATCTAGATATTTTTTTTTTCCTTTTTTTTTTCTCTTTAACAATACACATCTAATACTCCCCCTGCCACTATGTTTCCTCCTCCCCCTTCCTCTCTCTCTCTCTCTCTCTC